CTCACCTATGAAGGGACATAAATTCTTAATATATGAAGGCAATCTTCCCCAACTCTTGGATGAGAACTGGTCTATTTTGGATTGATCTCAAATTAACAAACAGACATGCAGAAGGGGAATACTGGCTAACTCTGCAATCCAAGGAGGAAGGGTTCTTAAATACCTCAGTGCTTATATCTGTGACTGGCTTGTCTGACACCCCCTCCCCCAAATGCCTTATCTTCCATGTCCCATGTGATCTTCAGAGCAGCTACATAAATACATTGAAGAGTGAGAAAATAAAGGCTGAGTACAAAGATTGACATATGAGCACAATGTAACATAGCCATTAAATGCAATGTTTCCTTAGGTCTCCTATGCTATGGAGCCTGACAACCATTTACGATATCTGTAAATGTTATTTATTTCTAAGTAGTTTTTCTGTATCCCCTTCAGTAAACACCAGTATGATAGCAGAATGTTTTAACAGATTTGAAGCCCTTTGTACTTTCAAATTCCTCCATCATTATGTACTGTAGGCCCTTGCCATGTACTGTATTATCCTTCAACTTCCTTGAATCTATCTACAGTGGAATCACGCTATGTAAAATGAATACATCAAATACATCAGCTAATGGGCTTAGCAATATTTCAAAATGGAGAATGAAAAACATTAGCCTTGTATCAATATCAGTAATACCATTTTTGCATTATTATATTACTTGAAACGCATATAGACAGAGGTTTTTCCCCCCAATTTTGCATTTTTCCCTGCACATTCCTACATATAAATAATACACACAATTTGAAGGATTCTTTGGACCCTAAGAACAAAACATTTTATGTTATGAGTAGGTTTATTCTGTACCAAGTTGGCTTTATCTTGGCATAGGAATTAATTCTCTAATAATGACAGTTTAAAAAACTGTTGTGTTATGTCGTAGGGTCCCTGCAGTCACATGATTGCAATCTGGGTGCTCCATGACCAGCTGGCAATTACAACACTGCAGTGTCCCACAGTCACGTGATCACCATTTGCGACCTCCACTGCCAGATTTGCTTAATAATGACAACCAGAAGTGCCAGAATTGTTGTTGTTAAGTGGGGCTGTCATGTGATGTTGCACTTTACAACTGCGTCACTTAGCGACAGAAATTCTGGCCCCAATTACCCTCGTTAACCGAGGACTACCTATAAACGGCATAGGAAAAATCAAAAGAATTGTGGAGGAGAAACGAATTCAGGGTCTCTAAGGGTCTGAGAGGAAAAGAGACTTCTGGAGACTTAGTCAGGTGACAGCGGTTGAGGAGACCAAAAGCAGACTCTACAGCACTTTGGATTTGAAAGTAAAGATGCTTTGGAGTACATGGACAGGAGCGTACGCCTCACCTGGCTGCAACTCCTTAAGCCAAGTCCGTCTTTTCCTCAGATCGCTCTGCTGTTGCAAAGGTAGCCAGGCCCTCTCATGCAGCTGCTTTAAAGTGTTTCTGCCTTTTACTGCAAAGCACTACACAGCCCTAAGAAAGGACACTTGACCTTCTAGCAGCGACCATCAACATGTTTCCTACCAACGTGTTTACCCACCCTGAAAATACCACTTGTTTCTTTGTCAGCTAAGTGGGAGCACTGATCCAATCATAGAATTGATTGGTTAGCACCTAACCAATCTTAGAAAGCTAAGAATGGTTAGACCTGGTTAATTCTTGGAGAGGAGACCACTAGGAAATACCAAGAAGTTGAAAACACATCCTAGAAGAAGACAGTAGCAAGCCACTTCCTTAGTCTTGCCAAGATAACTACATGAATGTGTCCATGAAGTCAACTCTGCTTTGTAATTTTCTTTCCTCCTTTCCCTTCTTTAAGAAATCCAGTTCTTTCTTCTAACCTTCTAAGTTCCCTCAAATGCTTTTTTCCCCTCTATTGTTCTTTTAGAGAAAAGGTTCTCTGACAGTCTAGAAATCCCACATGCTATTTTGAGGCATAGCATCTCTCTCTTCACACATTCCAATATTGAGACTATTCTCATATTTTCAACTATTCTATCATTAGATAAAGTAAAATTATGAGAACATAGCGCAGTGTGACTTCCAACAAGACATGTCACTATTTTTCCCCTACAGTGCAAAGGAAAAGGTTGAGGATCAAAAGTGCTCAATATATCACAAAAGTGGGAAAATTTTAGTTAGGAGGAATTTCCTGATTTGCATTTTGTAATCCCCAAGGTTAAACTATGCTTTCAAATGCCTGTAATTTTTTTCTTCCAGCGATATAATAGAGATTTCTGGATGTCCAATTATCATGACCCAACAACTTAATTGTGAAAACATATTTATTTTTACTTGCTCTATATTTTAAATGCATATCTACTTTGCTTACTGATGGTGAACCATCAATCCTTTGCATGCTTTCCAATTCATACCCGATTCTTATAAATATGTCATGGTTTGTAATAAATTAGAAGGTAAATTGTATATCATTCATTTAAACAATGCATTTGGAAAACATATTGCTCATTCATTTTCAATACCTAAAAGTCACCTTTTCATCCTATTCTGGATGCTCAAACTGGATGAAAAAACAAATGTTATTCTAATAAAACAAACCTCTACAAGAGCAAAGGCTGTATAGTGAGCCATTAGCCAGGGAGAGGTGCTGGGGGGCAGACTCTCCTAAATTTCTTCAGTCTTCCCCAAAATTTTATGTTGCTTAAAATTTCTCCCCAGTAAATATTCCCCCGTTTCCCCAGAGATAAACGTCCCACTGATTGGAGGGGCATTCCCCTCAAATTTTTTAGGCTTGCTGAGGTCCTGTTGTAAAACAAGCAATAGATAATTCCCAAACTGGGAAAACTAGACCTACTGGAAAAAGTGAGATGAGTCGCCTGCCCAAAGTAGCATCCTGCAAATGCCTGTCAACCTGCTATAAATGCATTCATCGTTATCCTGCACTGGTGCGAAGTCAAACAAAAGCCAAAGATTTTGCTGAGACTGCGTTGCTGAAACGCAGCAGCAAAACACAGTATCAGTGGTTGAATTGTGTGTTTGTGTGCGTGTCTTCTGGGTAAAAATAAAAATGACAGATGTGTTACACTTCTCCCAAACTCAATACATCTAATTTGCATCCATCCCTGGAATGCCTTCCTGCCCCCCAAAGTGTTTTCAGCTGGGCCACTGCAAGATAACAACTCACTTCAGTTGAAACTAACCAGATCAGATCAAATCTTTATTACAGTCATAGATCAGCATAAAAACTCACCAGAAATTTACCAGGCCAAAAAGTCTTAATGCTTTATCTGAATCTGGATCATGGCTTGTTACATCCCCTGTAACTGGATCTGCTAACTCCAACACTTGAGCTATTGGACAAGAGAGAAGCTAGGATCTTGATTCAGATAGAGTATTTACCTGGCAAGATGCTGAGTTGTCCAGTGTCTTAGCCTCTCTGACTTATAGGGTTGCCAAACAAGAACAATTAGGCAGAAGGCAACAGTGCACTTTCAGGATGCAGAAGCCGGAATTTGAATTGGAGCTGAATTTAGCAGTGATTTTGGCTTAGCATTTTGTGCAGACTCTTCCAGATAGTGTGACAAACATAAGGGGTAAATTTGTTGTGAATCATATTACTTGCAAGTATGGATGTACATGTGAATGGATGTATATTTTCACCTGAAAAATTTATTTCAATATTTCCTCAATGTGGCTATAAAATGGATTACACTACTGTGTTTGTGTTTTTCAGTGTGTGTGTAATAGTTGCATTTTTTCCTAGACTGTTGTGTTTTTACATGAGATCAGTAAAACACTCTCTCACATCCAGAATCTAAGCACCCAGCTTTTAAGGAACTATTTTTTTCTCCCCCTTTGGTATGAGAAAAATGTTTTTGTTGGGGTCAATGTGATGCCCGAATAGGATTGCGACAGCGTTTTACATGGATTTAGCCCACCCTTGAATTGGACTACTGAGTCATTCATATAGTGACGGCAGTGCTTAAATTACTACAGTAGGACTGTTGTGACATACAGGGGAACATGATCCACCGTGCTTGGTGGGACATGCATGTCAGTTGACATATTTGGAATTGCAAGTGAACAGCTTTATGATTCCCATATAATGAACAGAAATGTTGTTAGGGAATGTAATTACTGCCCTCTAGTGGGAAATGAGAACTAAAATGCAATTTAATCGTCTTGGATGTAGGATGGCCAACCACTTTTTAGGATATGCTAAATAGCATCTATACACAGCGAGTAGAACTATGCAACTCCTAAAAATTATGAATAAGATACAAGCAGCAGCTATCTATCACAGATTGTCAGTTTGGAATTCTGTAGATCTCATTCCATTACCAATTACTTCGGAACAGATACATCATTATTTTTCTACTAACCTCAGTTGGACGCAGAAATGCAAGATTTCTGAATATTCTAAGAAAGCTTCATTTGCTATACATGCTATGCTTTTGTTAATTGGGTGCTAGGAGGATACAAAGCACCATTCTTCGGTGCTACTGCATTAAATAGATATAACATATTGCTGCATAATGAATTTTGAAAATTGTACAATTATGTCAACACTCTTCAAATCTTTGAAAAGATGTCAGACAGAAAATCAAAACATGTTCTTGCTCATTCCAGAGTGCCAGACATGGAATAATGGATTAAAGTCAAAAGAAAGAAAATTATGACTTATTAGGAAAACAAACAAATGTCAGCACTGTAAGAGCAGTTGGTAGTAGGTTCCCTTCACTAGATGTGTTCAGACACAAAGCATCTTTGGATTTCTGCACTAAGCAGGGGTTGGATTCAATAGCTTCTCCTGACTCTATAAGTTTATCACTCCAGAGTCCAGCCAGCCAGCCAAGACAGCAGCTGCATGGACATTCACTCTGAGTTGGTAATTCAGTTCAGCTTTAATGCCACTAACAGCCTAGTAAGGCTGCAGCACACAGAAATAGATGCAAAACTTCAGGCTTGACTTCAAAGTTCCATTCAATTACAGAAGACAAAAGGCTTGGATTTTTTCATATTTACACATTTATTATTATTTTGCTGTACAGATGCAGGAGCGCAGCTCTGCCTCCCAAGTTTTCATTAGTGACCATTTAAACATGATGCATACAAACAACTGGGTCCAAGCAATTTCAATTTCTTCAGGCTTTCATATTAATTTCAACATTCCATACGAAGCTGAACGTATTTCATATGAACATCCACATAATGCAGGGCATACCTTTTTACAGTCTTATTTCTTGTACTCTATTTTTCTTGTACAAAACATTTCCTCTTCCAGATTTTTATGTTTTACTCCGTGTTCAGTGCAACTTTGGGGCAACTGTTGTGCATTTCTAAATACATTTCTTCAATTCCAAAGAGCTATCTTTTGAAAGAGCAGTAAAAGTAACCTAATGCTGAATGCCACTTCTATTCATTGCGCTGCAGAAGAGGACACTTGCACACATGAAATAAATTATGGCAGCTACTACATATGGACTCACAAACCCTACATTAGAAGACAAACCTAAGTCACTTTTGTAAAACCTAACTTAAGTCTGACTTACTTAAATAGAGTTCTTTTTTTATTTTTTGCGTAACTGTCACATTTCCAGGGTGAATAAACCCTGGATCTGATTTAGAGGGATAAGGGAAAGATGTTAATTTATTCTTCACTTCTGTGCCATTGGAAATGCCTGAGACAGGAAACAAGTTCTCAGGTGGAGAATCCACAATTCCATTCTCTTTTCTCTTAAATTTAAGAGGAACACCTGTTATCTCTGCATTGGTCCATAGCGATTTAAATCTTGGAAAATCCATGAAGCTGAAGCTTAGAAATCAAATTCTTCACTTTTATTAGCCCTCTTCATGTGATTCACTGTAAAAGTTAAAATTAACACACACACTATTTTAGAATAGCAACATATACTGAAGAAGCATTTAACCATGATAATGCAATAATCTCAATATACTTATATACATATATATCTATCATACTAGTTCCATTCAGGTGAGCAATGTTATGAAAGTACAGAATAAGGCACGTGATTATAAGGAAAAGCAGGAGATAAAAAATAAAATAAAATAAATGGAAATTTTCTGCTTCTGCTTCTTCTATAATGATTATTATTAATTCGATTTGTATGGCTGCCCATCTCATCTGAGTGACTCTAGGTGGATGATCCAGTCCACATTCATTCTCTCTATATGACCAAACCATCTTTCGTATTGGTCACTCACTTTTGTATCCAATCTCCCTCCCTCCCTCCATCATCCATTCATTTTTGATCTTCTCTTTCTGTTTTACTTAAGCATCTCCCTCCCACTGCATTCAACTTTCTCTGAAGTTTCTCCTGATAACCCACTCTCACTTTTTTAAATGGGTAGAAGCTACTCTCATGCACAACCCTCTTTGCCTCTTAATATGTATGCATATATTTAGCCACAGGATATAATATAGAAACTCTTACTTTAGGTGCAACTAAATAATGTGATGTGCATGGATAATGAACATACAATTAAACTGTATCATATGTTTTCAAGCAAACAAATCACTAGTTTTATGACTAAAAGGTTAGATGGGATGACCATATATTCAATAATAAGGATATCGTTCTGTTATGCAATAGAGCAAGTCCATCTGTAGAGTTAATGTCCCATAGAATTTAGCAGTTGGTTTGATTAATGAAAACTCTTTATGAGAGCTCAAGTTTCCTGACCATCCCTTAACAATTGTCAGGCCTAGCCCAAGGAACTCCAAGAGACAATGCAAATTCAGTTCAGCTATGTTTATTAGCTACAACCTCTAGCAAGAATCTTCCCAGACTAAACCCCCATCTCCCAAGTCAGCCAGCCACAACAGTGTGAATTCCTCAGGGAGGTGCCAGTCTCTTCCTCTTGTATCTCCCATGCTCCTCCAGCGAGCTAAGAAAATGTTTATCTCCCTGAGCCTGGCCTTCATAATTCCATTCCATCACAACAATGGACCTTGGGAAGACCTATTGACAATCCAATGATATCATATAAATTATATAGTGTTATCTTCTTTGTAGTAATGGTTATAAGTAGCTAGTACTAGAAAAGTTCAATTCAACCTTTGTTTCCAACTTAGGTTTTTTTTAAACTGACAGAATTATATCACACTACATGTGATTCCAATTCAATCTCAAAAAAAAGCAAAATGGTCTAGTTATGAATAGCTAATATAAGCATTTTTCTCCTTTGTAGGATTTCTGTCAGTGTGAATCACATCTTAACCATTTTACTAGAAAAAAAGTTGCTGGAATATTAACCATTAGAATAAAAGGGGTTGGATTTGGCCTTGGAATTCATGCCTACTCTTTCTTTATACAGCTCAGAAGGCTGTCATTAGTTTAAAATTATCTAATCCCTGAGTCCACCAGGATTCAGGTAGGACACAAACATGAATAAATGAAAAAATCATCACAATAAATATTATGGATGCCATCTTAAACCATGTCTATCAGAAAAGTTCCACTGAACTCAATTCTGACTTACATTATAATAAATATGTTTAAGAATGCACTCCATTTTTCTTTAACTCTTTAGTTCATCATAAATGGCAAAGATTCACACTAGTTTGGAAAGCAAGATTTTCATGTTGCAGAAATTAGGGTGGTTTCTGTTTAAAATGCTTAAATGTTTAAAAACTAACCTGTTTCCCTGAAAATTGACATACATACATACATAAAAAATATAGTATCAAATGATGTTTGCACAATGCAGCAGCACTGAATAGGGAGGATTTGGATAATTTTTTCAATTCCTGATGAGTGAAGATGATTATGACTTTATGCAGATTGTTGGCATAAGCCATAGTACAGAACATAACAATAACAGAACAAGTTAAAGATAAGCATATTCAAGAGAGATGTGTGATCATCCATCAACCACTTCATTTGTTTGTTTGATTCAATGAAAAATCAAAGCTCCAGAGAAATCCAAGGGATTTTAGGTCCCCAAACTTGAAACTGAAATTCCTCAGCAAACATCTGAACTTCAACTCTTCAGAAGGTTTAGCCTAGGGCTCACTTTCTTCTTGGCATAAGGCTCCCTGGTTTGAGCCTATTTCTTTGCACACATCTCTACTGATCACCTCTTTTCAGTTCAGTGCCGATATTCTTCCCTCTCTTTAGTTACCATTTTTTTCTCCCCTACTCCATGTTTAGCATTTTCTACATTATTTAATATGAATCAGTTTTTATTCTGCTTTCAAGTCCTTAACCTTTCTGTCTTCCTGTATGGTATTTACCTCCATCATCAGCAAATCAGCCTATTTGCTTTCGCATGAAAGTTGATCTGTATTTTCTGAAGCTTCAGCATCTGGATTGTCTAACGACACTTCACATAAGTAAACGTCAATGGGGCCTTTTGTGCTTCTTACATGTACTTCTATGCAGTCCTGAAAAATACCATTATTTTTTAATGATTAAAAAACAAACTACAGCATGACAAATATTTAAAGAGATGAAGTGTGTATAGTTTTAATTGTATTTCAAAACTCAAAGGATGCCAGCATATTCACAAGAAAGAGTTAAATTCCCCAGAATGCAATAAGAATTTCCAGGTAACCACTTCAGGAAGAGCCCCAAATATCTTATGTTGCTAATTTATATCCCTCTTTGAACACTGAAACTGGCAATGGGGATGTATGTGTCTCCCAGTTTCTTGTTGCTTAAGATGTGGGACCAAGTCATTTTCATTCACATTCAACCCCAGAAGAATTTCTGAACATTACAGTTTGATCCCAGTGAAAATCATCTCAGATACGTTCCCTTCAAACTTCAGGATAAGGTATTTCAGAGTGAGAGACCAAGAATACATGTAATATCTCTTCATTTCTATGTAGAAGAAAATGGCAGCCTAAACTATAGTTAAATTTTCAACCAGTATCTTAATTTGCTAACATATGTTACAAAATTGTTTAAAAACTTTTGAATAAATCTCCTTCTGTAGCATTTAAAATAAGAATGGAAACGTCACTGTTGATCTTTGGAAGTACATCTTTTGTACAGCTATTCATTCAATCACATCCCAATAATTTCAAATCAAGTCAAGATGTACCTACTTCTTTAGGAGGGGGTACTTCCATTTTGGTTCCTTCTGGAGCCTTGATTGCAATAATAATCTGTTCTTGAAATGTCTGAATATTATGAATATCTTGATAGGTGACATAAGCTAATGTATGCAATAGTTAAGAAATTTTAACAGCAGTAGTAGAAGGTATGGTTTAATTTGAATATAAACAATTACATGACTATTAAAACATTACACTTATTACACAAAACCTAATTATCGATTAATTCTAGCAACTCAGAGTATTGGTCAATGCCAAGGAAAAAGGATATCTTGCATTTTCTTTATTGTCTGTTAAGTCAAACAACTGATGAGCACAATCCTTGATTAATTCATCCAATGCTTCTTCCATTGTTGTCAAATCACAGAGTTCATCTCTTAACTTCTGTTGCTCCGGTGTCCGTTTAGTAATTTGCTTAATATCTGAACCACTAATTAAAAAAAAAAAAGCACAGAAGCTTTAAAGTTTAACCTTTAAAGGTATAGGCAGCATTACATCATTTATCAACACCAAAAGCATTTCTAATGAGACCATAAATAATATTAACTTCTAGAATCAAGTACCTATGGCAGCTATACATTTCACAGGATTAGGAATGCATATTAATAGCCTAATCTTGTGCAGACCTAAGCAGTGTAAACTCACTGACATCCTTATTAGATCAGGTTGTGTAAGTTGTATATACGTTGCTGCGTACACTGTTACATGATACAAGATCTTTGCAAGTATTTTATTAATAGTATTCACATACAAGAAGCTCAGTATCATTAATGGAGATTCTTCCCACTTGAGATTGCATTGCCTAAGAGCTGAAGCAAGGAAGTGTCTCAATAGTTTAATATTCATAATATTATGATGCTTAGCCCAAGCTCAAGATCGTTACATATATTATTGTAGGAATCCTTAGATCAATCCTGTATCCTTGTATCCATGACAGAGGTAGTGAACAAGACTATTAGCTTATAATAAAGAGTTTGTATCCAACAAGACTCCAAGTCGTATCGCATACTCTTAATTTTAATGTTGTTTGAAATAATGTTTTTTTGCCATACGACTCACATAATGTTTAATTACCCAGGATCTCAAGTATGAAAGTTAGAAAAAAGAATCAACTTACACCCACTGTATAAGATTCTTGGATCTTTTCTGAACAAGATGTATTCCATCCAATACATTTGTGATATCATATACTCTTCGTTTCCGTACTCCTAGCAAACGAGATACCTCATTCAAATCAAGGACTCCTTCTGGAGCAGCTTTGACAAGATCCATGAATCTTCTGGTCAGCTGAACCAGAGATCCATCATAACGGGGCTTTCTGCCTTTCATTGATTCTGTATAGGTTTAAATAACGGTTCAGATTAACCCATTGTAACAAGGAAAACTTCTCACATTTGTCATCAAGAGCTCTTAAGCTAATCACCCTAGCTAACACAAGCCAGTTCAGTAATTAAACATATTTGCATTTGATTGCCTTTAAAAAGTCCATTCCTTAAACCAGACACATTATCTTTTAGATTATAAACCAGAAATTCAAAAGGAAACATGCATGCATGCATATGCGTATATATATAAAAAACAATGCTTGCAATTACTGGGAAACATGATCTTGTACTGTGCTGTTTTACCAATAGGTACTGCTCATCTACATTCCTGATTCAGTTCTACCATAATACAACATCATGACCAAGTCCCAAGTTCATTTCCTCCCTTCTTCATATGCAGTTGTAAGGAAGTCAGATCTGCTTTTCAACAAACCACATTTCCCTGTTGAAACATCTCAATGCAAATTGGATTTTAAAGATTAATATACAATTGAGACCAGAAGTCTTCTTCTTAGGACTGAGGGACAAACAGTTGGAAAAAAATCATGGAACATTGTTTTTGTATATAAGCACAGCAAGATTATTGTATGCACAAAGATGGAAAGATTCGGCAATACCTACAGTGGAGGAATGGTTGGTGAAGATGACAGAACTTGCCTAGATGGCCAAACTGACTTGTTTGATCAGAAAAAAGACAGTATCTACATTTATTGCTGACTGAAAACCCCTTATGGACTTTTTGTATCAAACAGAAAAAAATGAACTTATAATTTATGGTTTTCATGATTAAATAAGATAGATTACAGAAAGAAGAGGTCCATGATGTAACTTTAGAGAAAGAGATAAATTTATAATTGTACTTATAACTACTGCAAAAAAGATTGGAAGCCACTTTTTGTATCTTTTGTCTTTCTTTTCTATTTTTCTTTTACTTTTTCTTTCTTGCAAATTTAGCTTTCTTTGATTTCTTTTTTTTCCCTTTCTTACTCTATATTAGTTTGTATTGGTTTTTACCTTTGTTTTAAAAACTTATATATGTATATGTATGTATGTATGTATGTATGTATGTATGTATGTATGTATGTATGTATGTATGTATGTATGTATGTATGTATGTATGTATGTATGTATGTATGTATGTATGTATGTATGTATGTATGTATGTATGTATGTATGTATGTATGTATGTATGTATGTATGTATGTATGTATGTATGTATATATATATATAAACATGTCAGTACAAACTGTGGATTCAGATACTAGCTTACTCTGAAACAATAAACAATAATTATTCAGAATATTTTTTTAAGAAGCGGTTTTAAAAAAAAAGCTTCCCGTTTGAATAACATAGACATGTCTAACATAATATCCCATTTGAACGACTGGAATATGAATCTCTCATTATAAAGATTTTTATCCAAACTTTTCCTAGGTTTACCATTCCCCATCCTGCCTTGCTTTTTCAAGAAACAATTTCATATAGTTTGGACTTCCACCACAGCTCATTCTGTAGTGTGGGGCCACCGAAGAATGCTAATACATGAGAGGTATCAGGGTACTGTCTCTACTGAAGGCCTGAACTGGTGCCACTGGCAATGTTACTATGGGCAAGAGTGGACACCGCTCTCATTATTGGTCCATTCTGCATTTTTCAAATATAAGTTTCCTTTCTTACTCTGGGCTGCCTGAGTGAAGGATAGAGTGGCTGCTGTACAAGCACAGGAGTACTCTCGCATGATTCAACACAAAAGCGACAGCCTAGACACCTCATTCTGCCCTACATCGACAAAAGTGCTCTGCTTCGGACAAAGCAAGGAAAGCTGTTTCTCCACTTCATCAGAACAGTTTTCTCCTGGCAGGAGAAATGGATGATAGCAGACGACAAGGCTTAGCTAACTTGGCATAGAAGCACATCATCCAGCTCCCGTTGCTCAATGTTTAGGGCTGTCCAGCTGCAGCAATATTCACTTCCAGCTCTTTATTTTTTAAATATTTACGATTATGTTCACATGGATACAATTCTGAATATGTTAATGTAACTTATAAGATAACAATTTATCAACTTAAAATATTTTCTCCAGAAAATAAATGTTAATGAGAAAATAAAGAATAACTTTAAATTTTTGTAAAGGATCCACCCTCATTGTTTTATAGCTAGCAGAAACTAACTGTACCTTATCTTCATTTTCAATTTTAGTATGTGCCTATGAAGAGTATAGTATTTAACAGTGAAAAAGAATGATGTAGTATGCAAATTCAATCAACACTACTGATCTTGTGATAGTCTGGTTATGTGAAAACTCTTACAGCACGTGTAATGATGTGTTTGGTAGATATACAGATTTTAAAGAAAGACAGCATAACACTATTTCCCTTGACATAATTGTTCTATTAGAGAAAAATAAGAAGTTTGGTTTTTGATCAAGAAAAACTTGGTTAGGCAGCCAATTATAAATGTCTACATAGGAAGATAAATATCTAGTGTCCCCAAAAAGATTATCACTCCCATTTATACATTTTGCTTTTACCTCCTAACTGGATGACTTCCAGAAAGACAGAAGCAATAAATTGTTGGCTGTACGCCACCCAGAGTCACGTTCAGTGATATGGGCAGTCTTATAAACTTATTAATAAAATAAAATAAGAAAGGCACCACTTTGCAGATCTTGAACTGTCATGTTTCTCACTGGGTTGGAGTATCCAAGCCATTTCATTTCATTAACACAAAATGCTTACCTCTTGCTAGGTAAGAGGTAAACAAAAACTGGGGTT